GACATGCCTTCTCCTTTTCTTGCCTAGTGGTCCTGGCCAAGTCATCGTCACCGTTTGACATGGCTTTGGTATGAGTGTTTGACTGTATGTGGACTAATTTGGAGGTGCAGTTACCTGCTTACGTTTGATGACCTCCTGAATCTCACGATCGCTTCATGCAATTTCAGAATTTTCACCAACAAACGGCCTACAGAACAAGAGTGTCAGAGTTTTCTCCCCCTAAAACTCCCGATTATCTTCATTCGGGTTACTTTCACCCGCGTTTGGTGGGGTCCCCGAGGGGTATTCTTTATCCGACATGAACCTGTCCCGTGGGCCCAACGATTAAAAGTAAGGAATTCCCATAATTCCATAATTCCATTGAAAAAAGGTGCCCCCGTGGAGAAGCAGACTGGAGACTTTTGGCATAGGGACTTGGGGAAAGCGCCATAGAAGCGCCGAAGAGGCAGGCAACAAGCGTCCAGCGCCGTCCCAATGGAAGGTCAGGTCCAATCTTGAAGGTACTTTAGGTAGTTCTTGCCAGTTGGTGCCAGACTGTCACTCCACAGCAATCTTTAAGATACGTACCGGCAAAGTACCGAAGTATCTTCCCCGGCCACTTTTGTGTGGCGCTCATTGGCTTCGCCGCCTCCCTTCTTTCCCTGAGTCCTGACACCTGGGGGAAGATGTGGCCCTTCCTTTTGAGTCTTGGTCTGGTGAGCCACCGGTTCCTCCCTCCGATTCGCCCAGATGTCAATCCCCAAACATGACACACCCAGAACCCCCCGGTCCCTGTTGCCCCGTCATCCTTCCGAGAAGGAAGAAAGTCTTCGTAAGGAATTGCCAATGTCTTGCCTTGACTTGCTCGCAGCCTTCCACGTCGGCGCGTCTTTCAGTCAGGCAATTGGATGATGCATCACTAATTCGTTCGCGCAGGCGGCCTGCGTCCGACTCTGGCGCGCCCTTCTCTACTACCTACCTTACCTTAGGTACCTTAGTTGTGCCTCTGCGACAGGGCCCCCCGTGACTGGCGATGCTTTGCGACACGATGCGATGCGCTGAGATTGGGTGGTGAATCTGCGGCTGGACTCAGACATCACGGCAGCATTGCGGTCTCTAACTGTCAGCAATCGAGACACGAGGCGCCCGTGTGGCTTTTCTTCCCTTGCCGCTCCCTGGACAAACATCTCCACTGTCGTCGTTCGACGGACCATCTGGTTCAGCGCCATGTCTCTTCAGCCGCCGACATCCGCCATGTCATTCGTTCGTGATGAGATGGGCACATGTCGGCCGGTACGCTCGCTGTACGAACAACTTACAAGTACTCCGTAGGTAGGTATGGATTCCGATCCTAAGGGCCACCCTAGTCCAAGCCGCAACGTTGGAGCCCCAAGGGCTCTCCCGCATGCTCTCCTGCAGCCCTCCAACACGTCTCTCCCTATCCGCGGATACCTTACCACAAGCTACAACGCCTTACGCTTGAGCTCTCGACGCTTTTGTGTGAAGCTCGCTTGACTGTTCTTGGCTCAACTAAGCCATCTTATCTTCAGACTTCAACACCTACAATCGAACTCGCTTAGACGGTTATTTGAAGCTATTCGGGCCATTCAACCTCGCCAAAACCTACTTATACAACTACAGTAGCTTTGCTAGCCGCTGCATCTCGCTATCCGGACTGCATGAGATGGATGCAACCCCATTCAATCCATCCCATCTTCATCCCGCACTTTCACGCCCTCCCCCAACTTCTCCCCATCCCATCCAACTTTTTTTTTTCTTCCCCCAAGTTTCCCCATCATCTCTCCCTCCAATCCCCCGGCCCCGGCCCCAAATGGGACAATGCTCGGTGGTACTCGATGCGCTAACTACCTACAGATCTCTCTATTCGGAGTCTACTATGGTAGACACTTCGTCTTGGTGTCCAATTTGGCCGAGTTCCTGTCCGTTGTGGATCGCCTCACATGCACTTTCAGACGCCGTCTGTCTCTCTTTCTCTCCGCCTGGAGATATCGGGGTCTCCAAGCAACCCCATATCTTCAGCTTCACGAAGCCGGTACCCAATCACGACGTTGCTTCCGCCAGATCGCGCGCTTGCTCGTCTGATTCCGCGGGTGCTTTCGGGGCTCCGTGCTCATCGTTCAGTTCAATGAGCCGTACACAACAGCCGTCCTTACGAGGTCACCGCCTATAATCGAAAGAGTCACGTCGTACCACTACCCCACCCGAGTCAGCGCGCGTTGCTGTTAAGAGGGCCCAAAGTCCGAATGACCAACAAGTTTTCCCTCCCCGGCGCTCCAGACTTGGGCTCCCTCCCCCCGGCGCTTGTTCGCCAGTGGGTGCCTTCCGAGCCATCCCTGGTCGGCCTCCGTACCCAGGTGCTTACTTTTACCTGTCACGGCCGTGATATCGGCCCGTCTTTGATGACGGCCCCATCCAACCATGCCCGAAATCACGACAGCGGCCTGTCAACACTGGCGCGTCGCCTTGCCTTGACTGCTTCAGTGCTTCATCGCCTCGGCTTTCGGCCGAGTTTGGGCTTGGTCTCGATTCTTTTCCCCAGCCCACCGCCCTCGTGCTTCTTCTCCAGGACTCCTCTTTGTTCTTCCCCGTGGGAAACTGGTAAAACGACCGCGTTTTCGCCGGCCGCCTGATCTCTGACGCACCGTTCGTCTCGGAACTTGAACTACAGATACGAAGAAGCTTACAAACCGCCAGACCGGTACCAATAGACCGACAGACTGTCACCGCACCGCAAACTCTGTCACTCCACGGGGTCTCCGGACGCGGGCACGGTGTCGGTCTCCGCTCGGAAGGATTTTTCTCTCCAGCAAAACCACGAACATCCAGACTCTATCCCCACTGCGGAGAACGTATCATTAAACACCCCTGCTACCCCTGGTGGACACTTCCAAGAAAGAAAAATTACCCCCAAGATCTCTGCTGGAGACTTGCTAACACAGCCTGAAGCGTGGACTGGGAACCTCACACGATGTTCATCACGTGATGTCTCGACCCAGACCTGAAGTTCATCCGCTGTTTTGCTCGCACGGGGCCGTCATGAACACAAGAAAAGCACAGGCTGCCGTACGCTGCACGCCCATCCCAGCAACCAGGCCGTCCCCAGCCCATCCCGAGTTCTCGGGACACGTGAGTCGCAGGGCCCTTGGGTGGCAACGCCGACCCGCGTCTTTGGTGTTGGCTGATGATGCTGGCGCCGTGCACGCACGATCGTTGTCTCTTCCCCCATTCCAAATGCCCGTCCTCTTGGCCGCCAAAGCTAACGATCGATAGGTAGTGTAAATGAATCCAAACCACCGGATTCTAGCGTGGTAGTCAGGTGCAGCTGTGCCCAGGTCCGAGCTCGACCCCTGTCCGGCACCACCGCCATCGAACCTCGGAACTTGTCGTCGTCACTGACCTGTCACCAACCCGCCGACTAATGGGAGCTGTTGACTAACACCTTTGGTATGGACTGATCTCGACCGGCAGCCGGCTCCGTTGGCCTTCCGCAGTGCCGCACCGCTACGTAGCCCTCACCCGAGTGCCGCTCTGGTACCTATCTAACCTTTGCCTCCCGCCAATCCCACCCATCTTCCAACTTCACCGTCTCTCAACTCGCGGGGTTGAGGTCCTCTTTGTCGTGATGACTGGTTCGATCATTGAGACAATGCAGATCTGGGGTAGCCGCCATTAAAGCGCCGCAGCGCGCCAAGTCGAGGTGTTCAATTGCAGAAGAACTGAGCTATTGAAGCATCAAGCCAATCGAATTCCCTCGTGGCTTGTCACCTGCCAGCTAGAAGCGCACAGGTCGTAGGATCAGCCACCCGATTCTTTTGCTACCATCCAATGGCCGTGCTTTTGCCTTGGAGCCGCAGAAAGACTTTGGGCACTCAATGGCTGCATAGCTACTCAATTAGGATCTCAGGTTTCACAGGCGACAGGCGGGCACGATGGGCAAACCGAGTGGTTGGACCGGTGCTGTGCGGTGCTTCTCCCCTTCTTACACAGCCTCTCCAGCATAAGAATTCTTCACAAAGAGTTAGGTCACGCGCGAGTGTGCGCCGACTTCCAAGTCCCAGACGAGGGTTTGACACTACAGAAGCTCCCTTTGTCTGGCCGTCGGACTAGCAACACGCTTCTGTCATGGTCGGTTCTCGATTGCGGGGTTGGTGTTTGTTAGTGCCCGGTGCAGATTCTTTCCCGCCACTCAGAGGAGCTAGAATAACCAATCTTCTGTAAATCAATTCCCGATCAATGCTTAGAATAGTCCAGTCTTTTTCAATCTACTTGTCGCAGGACTGTGAAGATCAGAGGAATCGCCAATTGAACTAACCGATCTACGTGCATTCTCTGCGATCCCGTGACTCTTGAGTCTTTCAAGAGAGCCTGCCGTAAGGTCTATCAGTGACACTGCAGCTCAATGACGATGCCAACAGCAAGCTCGACTTTTCTAAATCGGCTCAGCTGCAGCTTTTGTTTGTCGGGTGGCGCTTTTTGGTCTAACTGCTTTACCTTGTCGTGCTTGCCTAATACTTCTGGTTCGGGTCCGTCCCCCGGCTCCCCGTTTTCCTGCCGGTAGTCGTCGGTTAAAAGTGGCGAAAGATGCAAGGGCTTGGAGGAGTCTTGGCATCTGCCATTTTTGAGTCTGGTGGTGACGACAATGGGGATGCGGTGATGTGTTTATGGCGGTTTGGCTGGCCATGTTGGATTTTCCAAGGGTCGGTTTGGTTGAATGGAGATGGAAAGGATGAATGGATTTAGATGAGGTTACATGGCGTGTGAGTCTACAGCTTATACTTGAGGCATCACTTCTCGCTCGGCACATTGTCATTGGCGACGTTTCCTTGGGAGCTTCAAATTCCCGGACGCGAACAAACGCCAGAAGACCCACGTGGTCGAATCATGTGGAGGTACCTACCAATGGATAACTGCAGACGGCCTGAGATCTCTCGAAGATTCGAGCAGCGTACCAGGAAAAAAAGACACAGGCGCCAAACGCTTCAGGAGAATCTTCGAGGATGATGCCCCTGACGAGACCGCGAATGAGGCCACGAAGCGCACTTCAGTGGCCCAAGATTCGAGAAATCACCGGATCTCTTGCATCAACTGGCTCAAATCTGGTACCCAATATTCTGGTGCAGTGTGAAACCCGGCTCGGGGAAGTCTACGCTGATGGGATTTATCATAACCGACTTGCGGACTAGAAGCGCTCTCGAAGTGTGGTGCCCTGGCGTGGCTGTAATGTTACACTCTTTCTGGCGACCTGGAACCCTCATGCAGCAGAGCATCATGGGAATGTTCTGTTCGCTGCTGCATCAACTTCTTACAGATGACTTGACGGCTCTGGACCGATCTATGAGCAGTATTCCAACATTCGAACAGAAAGACTCCGAGACAGACTGGACTGTTAAGGAACTTCAAACGCTCTTCTTCAACATCATTCAGCACTACAATCGTCATATCTGTTTGTTTTTAGGTAGTATACTAGGTAGATGAAGTGAGCCCCGAAGACGACGTAGTGAGACTCCTAGATATCATACACAAGCTGTGCATCATTCAAAATGTCGAAATTTGCGCCCCTTGATAATCAGGCTATGGTAAGTTTGTCAAAGTTTCAGCTTAGTTCGAGAACCTGGAGAAGTTGCGCACCTTGCTGGTTCTGCACTCATGAGAGGTACGTAACTATGTGCCGACGTCATCAGTCGACGTAGCCTCACGGAATTCTTTTCAACGACAGACACATCTGGAATCATCCAGTCTAAGGGAAAGCAGCTGCCATTCACGATGCCAGTCTCGGAACATCCCGAGATTGATGGAGCCCTCATAGAGGAAAGGCTTACAACTCTCGGAGACGACTCGGTGGCTCGACCAGGAGTAACAGTAGCGCTTCACATTTGCGATGATTACGTCCCGTGCGATCAGTCCGACGATACCGACCAAGTGTTGAAGATTTTTCTACGTCGGCTCGAGGGCAACGGCCTCACCACTCTTGCGGCGGAGGTTTATTTATACCAAAATGAGCCAGACAAACTCCGCGCTCTCAGAAACCATTTAATCGACGCGCTGCTTAAGCCTAGTGAGTAACAAATCATCTATATGATACGTATTCAAATTAATAACTGACCTAATAGTGCTCGCTCGTGGAAGAGGAAAGGGACTCATCTCCCAGCCGGTGGATGAAGACGCTCAGACTGAGATACAAAGCTCTTTGCACGAAGTTGAAACAGTATCGAGAGACGCGGCACTGAGAAACGAGTGTCTGAAAAGAGACGGCGGGAAGTGCATGATCAGCCAATACTGGTCCGATCCATGGGAGGAGCCTTCTGAGGGAGATATATGCAGCACTAAGTGTGCACATTGCATTCCTTTCTCTCTCTTCACTACCAACGGTAGTTATACCCAAGTAGGTATCCCTGTAAAAATGGGGTGACTAGAATGCTTACACCATGCTGTAGACGGTGAATATTGCCACAATTTGGCTCGCGTATCATCGATATTTCACCGACCTTCAAGGAGCAATTGCTTCTGAAAGCATAAACCAGCTTCCAAATGTTATGACGTTGATGGACACGCTGCAAAAACAGTTTAGAAAGCTGAAGATGGCTTTCAAGTCCACAGGCGTCCGAGTAAGTTCTGCAATGAGCTGTAATTCGAAACATCTATGTGTCTAACTTACTTAGAATCAATATGCCATCCAATGGTTTGGTTCTGCCAAACGGTTCTATCTCAGAGGGATCCTGCCTCCCACAGTTCAGTTTAGTACGCACAATGGTGATGAGAACCTGCCCAACGCAGCATTTCTTCGCTGTCACTACATCTTGGCTGAGGTTTATAACGTAAGCCCTACAATCTATATCCGTGAAAAGTCTATTCCAAAGAATAGTACTTCAGATATCACAGGGTCTCACTACTCTATAGGACATGAACTTGCAAAACCTTTCCCTAAAGGTACTTTCGACGTTCCTACGAGACGAAAAGATGACGCTGAATGACACACTGTCATTTATTGGTGGTGCGAGTGTCGAATTTGTAGAGACACAGCTCAGGACATGAAATTACAATTGTGAACATCGTTTAAGCCTTAAGGGCTAGGCATGGAATACTTGACGTTGATATAGACGACAACAAGGGAGTGAGAAGCATTACTACTCATGCAAAAAGGCTTTTCTTTCCCACAATTCAAAAGACGATGAGATTGAGCGCGGGGATCAAGTGAAAGAGTTCGGAAAGAAATTAGAGGCTGTTGTCGCGAGGAGCGAGATGATGAAAGAAGGACGTCCAAGATCATCTCACAGACCTCGGTTTCAGAGAAGTAACTATATACGCCGACGATGATGGAGTGCAGTATTCTCGTGATATTGCAAAGAAACTGACACCCGGATGGATGATCGTCTGGCTCTACGGGGAATCACCCGAAACTTAAGGCTTCATTCTATTTGACTATATTTGTCACCCATAAGCTATGGCACTCCGATGTGGAACAATACAGTATAGAGAAACCCTACAGTAAGTTTTCCGGGTAATGGTAGTGGCTGGTTTCCAAGCGAATACTGCAGACAGTCTTCCAATTCTCTTCTGTCAGGCTGTCCAGATCCCATCAAATTCTCTTGGATAGGCGACATCACCTGACTAAAAAAACACGCGAATCGCTGATTCTAGCCTGACGGCTGTTACCGTCTTTTCTTCCAGGCCTCAGGAAACTAGGAGATTTGTACTATACGCCCCAAGGAATATGTGAAGCCATGAACGTTCGTCATACCAACTATTGCCAGTTTTCGTTGGATATAGAGAGTGACTTACCGGTTTACCAATTGTTTGGCGATGATGTGACAAAATATTTCACGGCTATATTTGAACACTTGGGGTCAAGAAGGCTCTTATAGTGATGTAGAAAGATAGCGGTGAGAATGCGGCCCGGCTGTGGATCCCGGGATGTCGAAAGCCGAATTCGCAGGGTCACCGAAACTCAATTATAGAACCGTGGTATGCCGGAGCCGCCGAGCACCAGGAATACTCACCCGAGATTAAATCGAAACTCTATTGAGCCTTGAGGAAATCATTCGGCCAATGCCGCTTCCCGTATTTCTCATTACGGACGCCGGCTAGCTGGCTTGAAGACCCCATTTGCAAGGTTTCTTAGTAGTGTTGAAGAATTATGCCTCACCATCCATGATAAAGGAAGAATATAAGTACAGGAGACAGAAGGTAAGCAGTCTTCCAACGGAGCTGTGAAGCTTTGACTATCGAGAGCATCAACTGAGTTGTCTGCTGCGTGGAATCAGTGTTTTTTCCCCCTCGGCTAGTTCTTCACATCTGTTCTTTGTTCTCTGCTGCTCTCAACAGCGGATAATACAAGCCATCATGCGTTTTCAGGCCTTCTCATATGTGGCTCTATCCTCATTAGCCGCCGTCGCACACGCGCAGTTCGAGGACCCAGAGCACCCATACATGGCCCCAGCCTCAACCGATCGCCGCTCACCATGCCCAGCCCTCAATATCCTCGCCAATCACGGCTACATCAATCGCGACGGCGCCTTCATCTCAAGTGAAAGCGCCACGGTAGCTCAGATGCAAGCCTTCAACTTCTCCCGCGCTGTGTCGGCGGGCCCCGTCCCTGCGGCGCTGAAATACTCCACCACGGGTGTGAACGGGACTTTTCACCTCGACGACCTGGCGCAGAAGCCTCTGGATCACGACGGAAGCTTGAGTCGCGGAGACCTCGCGCTGGGTGATAACTTGCGGTTCAATAGAACGATTTGGGATTCCTTCGTGGCTAGACTACCTGACGAGTACGTTACTTGGAAGCAAGCTGCCGAAGCTGGTGCTGCGAGACTCGAGGATGCGAGGAAGGAGAATCCCGAGTTTGTGCTTGATGCCGCTGGTGTCGCGGCTACAGTTGAACAGATGAGTGGTCTCCTTGCCGCGCTTGGAGGAAGTGTCGAGGATGGAAAGGCGAGAAGAGATTGGATCAATGCTAGTTTCGTGGAGGAAAGGTTGCCGTGGTCGCTTGGCTGGAGGACGAATGAGAAGGTGCTTGAGGGGGCGGCGTTTGGCCCAATGGCGAAGGCCTTGAGGGAGTTTGCGCCAGGTGGGGTTTGATCGCATACACCTGAGCAGGAAGAAACTAGACATACATGTCAGTGAATTGTAGTACATACTTCTCAGAGGGTGGTCTTCCAGGGTCGATGAATCTCAGTAGCACCAACTTCCACAACGTGGGTACGTGGCATAACTTCAACACAGATTCATCTAGCACCTCCAATTGAGCGCCCGCCTTATATGAAGAAGCAAATATGTGGAATTGAGTGCTACTGATGAGGTGCTAGCTGAACATCTAGTCGTGGCCAATGACGTTCTTAGGAACATAAGGCTCCTCCAGGTATTTGGCCTCTTCGTCAGTCAGAGTCTTGCCCCGCAGCTCGCAAGCCTCATCGATTCTCTTGACAGAGTTGAAGCCGGTGATGGGAACTCCACCCTTGTAACGGATCCAAGCGAGCGCGACATGGCTCATGCTCCATCCCTTTTTGTCCGCAATCTCCTCAACCCGGTGAATGATGTTCTCATCGGCTTCACTGAGATCGGGGTTCATCGGACCCTTGCCTTGGGATCGGATGCTGGTGTTTTCAGCCTTGACAGACCGCGCCAGCTTTCCGCCGTAAAGCGGCGACCAGGGAAGAAGGCCTACGCCCGTCTCCTTGCAGAATCGGTTCATTTCGCGCTCTTCCTCACGGTAGACGAGGTTGTAGAAGTTTTGCATGCTGACGAACTTGGTCCAGCCGTTCTTCTCGGCGACGAACTGCATGCGCGCGAACTGGGTGGCCCACATGGAGCTGGCGCCGATGTAGTGGATTTTGCCGGCTTGCACGAGGTCATGGAGGGCCTTCATGGTCTCCTCGATGGGTGTGGTCGGGTCGAAGCGGTGGATCTGGAAGAGATCGATGTAGGTCGTTCCCAGGCGGGCAAGAGCGTCATCGACGGCCTTGAAGATGGCCTTGCGAGAGAGGCCGCCTTGGTTGACGTAGTCCTTGCTCTGGCGTATTTCTTGAGGAAACATGGTAGTGTGGAGGTTCGTCTCTTCGCCTACGTAGATGAAGCACTTGGTCATGAGAACGATCTTCTCGCGGGGGATGTTGAACTTCTTGATGGCCTTGCCGATAACTTCCTCGCTGACGCCGTTGGAGTACATGTTCGCGGTGTCCCAGGTGTTGATGCCGCGGTCGTAGGCGGCCTTGAGGATCTCAAGCGATGCTTCCTCGTCCAGCACCCACGGCGCCCATTCACTGGACCCGAGGGACATGCCGCCCAGGACTGGAACGGACACCCGAAGACCGGAGGTTCCCAGGTTTACATATTCGACCTTGGTGGTGTCGAGGCTCTTCTGAAGAGAAGCGGGAACGGGAAGTGCAAACATTGTGAATAGAGGTTGCCTTGAAGGAAGTTGAGTGTTCTGGTGCTTTTGATTCTGTTGTTGATGTCAAGATCGGAGATGTTGCGGTGAGCGTGGATTGATGAGATACTAATTCACGATGTTCGGCTGAAATTGCATGGTTATATAGCAAACAATTTGAATCCTTCATGACATTGAAAGACCATCTTACCTTGAATGTCGGCGTGGATTCATCAGCACTGGCCAAGGGTACTGAGGAGATAGTCGTAAAATCCGCATCATGAAGCCTTACACCTTGAGTATCACCAGGCTTCAGTTGGAGTATCATGGCTTCAAGATAGTAAAACACTGTTAAGACCGTCTATGTCCATTGTTCATTGCCAGGTGTAGAGTGTATGTTTGTCAGACGATGATGGCTGGTTGGCTTCATAGCCGGTGTATCAACGGAAATCTGCCACATTTCCACCGCAAAGTTGCCAAACAGTGCAACGGGCAATTGACGGACTCTTTTCTTGTCCGTTCCATTTGAGTCCTTTTGAACAGTGTCGCAGCATTTGGGACTTTGGTTCTTAAGAGACAGCGGACCTTGGCGCCTTTAGGGCCCAGCTCCGCAAAATCCGGGGTTTAGTGCTTAAGCCCGGGGCAAATTGGCCGAGCCGGCAACGAACAAAGCTTGCTTACATAGCGGCCGACAGGCGGTTGTTTGGAAGTGCGGGCACTACCTCTGGCGCTCTGGTAACAGGAACCTTATGCGACAAAACACCAATTCGGGAGCCTTTACACGCGATTACGTTCAGTCATGATGGCCTCAAGCGCTCGTGTACCGGACAGTTCTATGAGCTCAACTTAATGGCATACATGCGCCGGTGAAGCTGAGTTAGATAGGCTTCACGTTTCTGTTCTAGATCTCAGGGATCCAGCTAGCGCCGCTCATCTTCAAACATACTACATTGTCACCTTCCATCATCGTAAAGTTGTAGCTGTGTGAATGTTCGAGCTCTTTTACCACATACAATTCAGCAGGTGGCATGAGTATGATCATTGAAAAGAAAGATTTCTGCAGGTCCATCCCTTTGGTCATGAGATTAAACGAGTGACCTGGAGGCGGCCAGACTGCCAAAGTCGCTTACGGCATTCCCAGGACTCGGTTGTCGTTGGTTTTGAGTGGGAAATTGAGTCAGCCATTTGGATTCAGTCCAGCCAAGTTACGATGCACGCGACTTGCAACAGGGTTCCCTGACTATAATGATCGTTCGCATGAAATCCGCCCAGTTTTGTGGCACATAAATCAGTAACTATTCCCAATCCCATTATGGTCTCTACGTAGGTATAAGAGTGGGTAGTTCTGAAGGCTCTCGCGGCAATTCGCCTGATCAAGTAGCGCTTTAACTCCGCCAACGATACCTATGCCCAGTGCCCTGCCCATCAAATCCCACCTCTCGACCACCCAAACTGCACATGAGCTCACCAATATGTAGACAAATTCGTGAACATACGAAGCTTGAAACTCTTCCAATGTGTGACAAGTCCGCCCAGTAGGATGAGCGTCTACCTACCTAGCTCAACATCACTGCAGAAGGCAGCCAACGAAATGAGTTGACAGAAACGCCTCTTTGAGCCACTCTGAGACACGGCATGGAGTTAAGGTTGCTCGCGCCCGGCCAGCGGGCCCCATCTACGTCCCGACTTAAGCACTTTGAAAGTTTAGGCCCCTCCCGACCATCTGGAACTGGTCCGCGCGGTCTCCGCTCCGCTCCCCCTTGCTAACTCCGTCATAGACTTGGGATGAAGTCGCAAGCGGCCATTGGTAGTATATAATGGTTTCGTCCAAACACCTTTTCAACGTCATGTCATTAAGAAACCCCTCTCATCACTAGGACTGAATTCATTAGCTTCACTATCATCTACGTATCAATCACTACTATACCCTACACTTAAATCACACAATGGGCTTCATCTACAGCCAGCTCTTCAAGTCCTTGCCGTATCCCACCGGCTCATATGCGGGCAAGACCATCATCATCACCGGCAGCAATGTGGGCCTCGGCAAGGAAGCCGCCCGGCACTACGTCCGTCTCGGCGCCAGCAAGTTGATCATCGCCGTCCGAAGTCTCGACAAGGGCCGGGCCGCCAAGCAGGACATCGAGTCCACCACGGGCTGCGGCAAGGACGTTATTGACGTCTGGCAGCTAGACATGTCCAGCTACGCCAACGTCCAAAAGTTTGCTGAGCGTGTCAAGTCTGAGCTGGAGCGCGTTGACATCTTCATCGCCAACGCCGGTGTGGTCCACAGCAAGTTCAAGGACATGGAAGGGGAGGAGGGTACCATCACCGTCAACGTCGTGTCCACCTTCTTGCTCACTGCCCTCGTCTTGCCCAAGCTCAAGGAGACTGCTGCCAAATTCAACACGAGACCTACCTTCACAATCACCGCCTCCGAGGTGCACGCCTGGACAAACTTTGAGGAGCGCACCGCCCCCGATGGCGAGATTTATAACACCATCAAGGAAAGGGCAAAGGCCTCAGACGATGCCGTAGGCAAGCTCTACCCCCTCTCGAAGCTGCTCGAGGTCCTTGGCGTCAGGACTATCGCAGAAATGCACCCGGCTTCCGAGTATCCCGTCACCGTCAACTGCGTCAACCCGGGTCTCTGCCATTCGGAGCTGGGACGCGAGGCCGGTGGCTGGACCCTGTGGATTATGAAGCTTCTCCTGGCCCGCACGACCGAGTACGGCAGCAGGACGCTGGTTCATGCGGGCGCCTCGGGTGCCGATACTCACGGCAAGTACATGTCTGACTGCGGTATCGAGGAGCCGTCGCCGTTTGTGAGGAGTAAGGAGGGCAAGGAGGCGCAAGATCGTGCCTGGAATGAATTGGTGCAGAAGCTGGAGGCCATCAAGCCTGGTGTGACGGGCAAGATCTGATTTTTGATGACAGTGTCCGGTTTCAATGAGCTCATGTTCCTTGGTAGTCTGTCTATCTAGTCTCCGTAGGATTCCCCAATTTCATAATACTTCGTACCGTTTATGACTTCGTCTTCACGGTGAAACACTAGCACTCATCATCAGCATGCCATGCTTCGTGTACCTGGTAAAGAACATGAGGAGGCTGTGAGTCCATTGCAAACTGCCTCAATTTCGCGATAGAGTTCATTCTCCTTGGAAATCATCTCTCCTAGTACTCACTTGACGACTGAGAAGCTCTCAACCGATATTTGAATCGCATTCAACATCGCGCTCATGAAGCTTTATCTCATCAACCATGAACGTAGTAACACGGACTCACTCAATGCGAAAGGTTGATTTAGGTCAAGGGGGCGTTGTTAAGGAAACTCAAAAGCGAGGCATTATCCAAAGTCTCCTGATGCCCAACTTCAATTCGTGTTATGAGAAGGGGTTAAGTCGCACTTAAACCCGACCGGCCAAGCAAGCCACTAACTGATTTGACGACACCGCTGGCAGCACGCCTCAGCTGAGCATCGGGCCAATAGCGGACAAGTCGAAACTTCCGAAGCTTCAAACTCGACAAGAGTACTCTCTTGATGCGCTTTTACAGTCTTATCACCGTTATAATCAGCTTTTCCGTATTAGCAATCGGTTATGAGGTCGAAATAGGATGCCATCTGAAGGATCGACTGTTTACCGGATTAGGCAACCAATCTCGAGTGCATGGAGATTGTGGTTGGCCGTTCTTAATTCCGTGCCTTGCTTACTCAACCACTGCGTGTAAGAGAACCACCCCCGGCAGAGACTACGAATGGAGGCAATACAGGATTCGCGGTGAGTCGGTCGTAGTTCTAAGCCAGAGATTTCCGAATACTTACTTATAGTCCAGTCCTCAGTATCATCCAATACATCGAAATATTTGCCAATGACAACATCAATGTCCCTCACACAACTCACCTCACAACCGCTTCAACCATCAATGACTTCTCAACCCCCCCAACAGCGCATCTTCTTGACTGGAGCCAGTGGCTACGTAGGCTCTGTCATCACAGAGCTGGCCCTCAAAAACGGCTACCAAATCCACGGCCTCTCCCGCAACAAATCCAGCGACTCAAAGCTCCGCAGCCTTGGCGCCGTACCCATTAGAGGCGACCTCACCTCCCTAGACGTCATACGCCACGAAAGCAAAGCAGCAGACGTCGTCATCCACCTAGCCACAGCCTACGTGTTCGGCGGAGAGCCCTACGAGACCTTCAGACCCATAGACACCGCAGCCGTCGACGCCATAGCCGATGCTCTAGCCGGCACCGACAAGCCTCTCGTCGTCACGTCCGGTACCCTCTGCGTCGCGGCGGATCCCACCGGCGCAGAGACCACCGAGACATCGCCCGCGGATCCGGAGCCCATCAACACCCGTATCCTGACCGAACTACACTCGCTGGATCTCGCAAAGAGAGGGGTTCGCGTCATGTCGATCCGACTGGCGCCCTACGTCTATGGCCGAGGCGGCAGTGGTGTGGCGCAGTTCATGGGCATCGCAGCTCAGACTGGCGGGGTGACGATCGTCAACGGCGGGAAGAAACGGACTACTAATGTGCATGTTGACGATGCGGCGCGGCTCTTCCTCCTAGCCGCGGAGAAGGGACGAGCAGGGGAGATTTATAACGCCAGTTCGGCGACGGACGTTACTTCTTTCGAACTCTCCGAGGCCATTTCTGCAGCTGTTCAGGTTCCGCTGAGGGATATTAGCATGGAAATTGCAAAGGAGCAGTTGGGGCAGACTATCTCCTTCTTCCTGTCTACAGAGAATAGGGCGTCTGGTGCAAAGGCCAGAAAAGAGCTTGGCTGGGACCCCCGAGGTCTAGGTATCTTGGAGGACATTAGCAAGGGTTCGTATGTGGAAGTTGCCAAGGCCCTCAAGAAGTAGCTTGGCGATGAGGAGAGAGAGAAGGAAGAGGGAGGGAAAGCCGCCTTGTGCCTCATGAGGGGGGATGCTGGAGTAAGAGTCAAGGGAGGGGGTGTGAGAAGCGGCACCGGTGAGGGGAACCATACCTAACTCCAAATGCCAAGCAAAGATGCAAGCCACTCAAGACATGTTGATTGCCAAAGATTTCTTGGTGAATCTCTTGGACCTGACTAGCGACTTACTTGGCGTTTGTACAGGCTAAAAGAGCTTAAATTGACGTTGTTTCTGGCATTGGGCCTCATCGCGATGTTCTCTCTTATCCCTCATCCTTGCAGGTAACATGGAGTCGCCCTCAGATATCCAGGTTCCTGTTTCATTACCATGTCTGAGTTACATGTTGGAGGACTTGAATTTTCTCATGAATATGATGAAGATCATTGAAATCAGATGTCTTTAAGACAGTTACAGAATCACATGCACAGGTAATAGGGAACTGAGGTGAGTAAAAAAGCGGCGAGTTTGTCTTCGGTCGCATTCTCATGAGCACTCATGAAGAAAGAACCAGTGATGAGCGTATCTCATCGTCCAATGTTAATCACTGGAGTTAGGTCATGTCACTCCTCATCAAGGGGACAGTATTGCACGAATATCCTATCACGGCGAGAGAAAGCAGATTGGAAGATAATGCATAACATATTGGGTATATTGACGAAGTCAAACTTCATTATTGACTATTACATAAACAGATTACACAACCACTCGCACCTAACACTTAGAAGACATAGCGGAAAGACAGATTCTCCTTGTCAGTCTTGTCCTCGAAGGCGTGGGCAGTGTAGTCGGGCGAAGCCTCGGGAATACCAGCAGCAACCATCTCATCCCTCTTCCTGTTCTCGCGAGAGAGGTAGATGCGGAGGCAGATGATGACGATGATGAGAAGCGCGTAGCAGCCCAAGTGGGTGGCGAAGGCAATAAAGTAGCGGGGACCGTCCCACTTAAGGAAGACCTGGGGGCCGATGGCGTTACCGGCGGCCCAGACGATGAAGTTGATGGCGACGGCGAACTGCTTCTTTGTCTGGCCGGCGACATTTCGGGAGATGAGGGAGAGGGCGAGGGTCTGGGCTGACCAGAAGGAGAGGGTGATGTAGTAGCAGATGAGGAGGCCGACGCGCTGGGAGAAGGTGTTGTTGGGGACGGTCATGAGGAGGACAGTGCCGATGACGGAACTAGCGAGGTTTGTTAGTGACTTATTGACGATGGCACTGTGAGAAGGGGCTTGACTTACGGGACACAGAAGCCAAGCATGACGTAGAGGTTCTGGTTGAACTTCTTGACAAGCCAGACGGAGCCGAGAAGGACAAAGATGATGTAGAAACCGAGAACCATGGCCAGGAGCTGGACCTCGAGCGTGTTGAAGCCGAAGCTCTTGATGATGATATTGGCAAAGGCACCGAGACCGGAAGTGGGCAGGGTGGTGCACAGGGCGATGAGAGAGTAACCCCAGACCTGGGGATCCTTGAGGGCCTCGATGGCCTGCTCGCGCTTGAAGGTCTTGTTCTGGATACCAGTCTGGTTGTCGCGGACACGCTCGACCATCTCCCGCTTGACTTCCTCGGAGTAGCACTTGGCGCGCATGGGCGAGTCGGGCATCCAAAGGAGGACGAAGAGACCAAAGATGACGGAGATGACACCGTAAGCCAGGAACAGCCATTGCCAGGACTTGAGGGGACCAGTCTTGATGTGGGTGAAGCAGTAGGCAAGGAGACCGCCGACGACCTGCTGGGCACCGTTCATCATGTACCAGTACGTGACACGGGACGCCTGCTCCTCGCGGCGGTACCACATGGAAGAGAGAATGACGAAAGCGGGCTGGCAGGCGGACTCAAAGATACCGAGGAGGGTACGAACGATGACGAGGCCCTTGAAGTCGGTGCAGGCGGCGTGGCAGGCGAGGACAGCGCCCCAGGCAATGATGGAGAAGCTGAGGTACTTTGCGATGGGGACACGGGCGATGATGTAGTTCTGGGGGTACTCGACGAAGAGGATGGCAATGTAGATACAGGTGGTGAGCCAGGAGAACTCTTGGCCCTTGAGGTGGGTGTCCTCCTGGAGGCCCATGATGGAGGCGAAGGACATTGTGCCCTTGTCGATGGCCTGGAGGAAGTAGGTGCCGATCATGATGACCAGGACGCGCCTATCAATCATCTTGCGCAGCTGATCGCTGCGCTCTCTGGAGACGGTGATGGAGCCGTCGCCGACGTACTTTGACAGCTCATTGTCGACGTTCTCGAGGCGTTGGTGGTCGGCCTTCTCGTTGGAGATTGTGCGCTCGACTTCGTGGAAGGACTTCTTGCCCGGGCCGCCTCCGCTCATGGGGCGCACGAGCTCCGGGTCGGCGACTTCGGTAGAGGCCATCTTGTCTAGGTGAGACTGAGCGAGAGAAGGTTCCTGATGGTGTGGTGGTGAGGGCCCGAGGTGCGAGAGACGCAGCAAAGGTCTCAGATATTGACTTGATGGGGGCTATGGGGTCCGGAGTCTTGTCTAACCTCTGCAAAGGAAGGGAAGAAGCTGAGCAACCTGCAGGAGAAGAGCAGGAGGTGGAAGAAAGAGGATGCTACCTCGTTCTATATAAGAGCAGATCTCAGGTGGAGCACCCCGAAGGGGTGGTAATGGGTGGGTGGTAAGGTGTTAGGGAAAAGCGAGCCGTGGACCGTAGGTAGTGCTTCAGTTTCCTTCCTTTTCCCCTTCCGGACGTGGTATCAATCTGGGCTGCCAAACCCCGGAATCTCATCCTCATTCTCTCCTCACTTTTACCCCAAGATTTCTTGTTGGGAAGCAGGCAGGACTTCTCCATTTCCCCGGTCCACATCTCGGTTCCCCGCGAAAAGAGACGACGAGACCAAAGCCAGAACCAAACCCCCACGGGCCCTAGGCTCCTGGTATCCCGGGGTGGATATAGAGACGGCTTACCGGGTCCTGTGTGGTTCGGCGAGCCGGATCACAGCTTGGACCAGACAATTGACAGGCGAGGAATGACCAGGAGTCCAGGAGGAGTGGGTGCAATTTGGGACATCATTCGACCGAAGTGGCGGGAAGGGCAAGGTGCGATGTTGGCAGGGCCTGGTTTACCACACCTCCCCCATACGCTCGCTCTCTTCCCCTCTCGAACTCCGCGTTCCTGCGGTGTATGCCCCAATATCTGGGGAGAAGATGGAGGATGAGACCGTAATTTGGGTAACAAAGATTGGATGAGAAGGATAAGAAAGTGGGCAGGGTCATGGCTAGAGCAGCACGAGTCAGGATTAGGGATTGGGGGACAACGTTGCGGCGACTGGGGGACCCATGGGGGCAACAACATGAACATGTGCGTGCTGGTTCTGATGGATGGTCAACCGGAAGGATACCGACAGCAAGATAGGTGGGAATAAGGGTGTGGATGCATAGCTCCAACGGGGAAGTTCTCTGGTTGAACTATCATGGTTGGCACGGCTGGCGAGGTCGACCCGGCGCGATGGCGTGCGCCTATACTGTGGTTCTCTGAACTGAGTGAAGTGATTGGTGGTTTGCTGCAACGGGGGATAAGGCGCGAGACTAGTTCTAGTCAGTAGCATCTTGTTGGAATGTCTCACACGAGTCTGTGATTTCTCGAGGCGGCGAAAGGTCAACTAATCGGTGTTGGTAATCAAGCGTTTAAGCGGTTGAGAAACCACGATCCCATGGACGAGAAGAGACTCTGTTCTTCTGGGTTTTGGAGGAGAGGTTATCGATGAATGAGAATGGATGGCGGCTGCGACGGCAGTGAGCGACTTGGCATGGCACTTGGGCGCTCTCCCGGCCGCCTCATTCCTTGGTTTCTTGGGCTTTTGTCGCCGCATTTCTGGGCAGACGAAATGGTTCAGCAGCGACTGGCGAAGAACAGGAGTCTCAGACCACGAGGTCCCTCGACGGAAGGGGGTGTGTGGTGTGTGAGCCAGCGTGGTGGTGGGCGGAAATGTTAACGACACGAGAAAGCTGCTTCGGGCTGGCGGCGGGCATGCAGGGATGGGATTGGTCGATGTAAGGAAAACGGCCGTCTTGCCTCAAAGCAGCCATGTCGTCGGCGCGAACCCTACCGATTCGACCGGCCGGACTTGGCTCACCACCAAAGGAAAAGCTTGACGAAGTCTTTGGTCTTGACGCTCGGGCTGAGCTGGGTCTTCTCCGTCTCTTGAATGACTTTGCAAATCGTTGTTCCGTCAAATCTGCGTTGTTGACTCTGGCTCAGCTCATGTGAAGACGTGGTAAATAATGGTATCGCGGTGAACTGTACAAAGCGTACCGCAACAGTATGCAGACTTTGACATGGGGCTAATTTCCAGCAGGAGGCTGGGAATACGTGTGGCCGTGTGTGCAGGCACATACGCAGTATGTCGTGTTGCAGCGGTTGCATTGCGTCTAATGTCCTGCGGTGAGAATGCTTGCAAGCACAGTGACTACGAAAGGAAATTGAGTTCCGCAATCAGAAGGTCATAGTAGTCAGGAATGAGGGCAGCCGTCCCGTAGAAGCCGTTCCTATATGAGTAGACGTTTCCGTTCCTTCAATTTCTCAAGATGACTCTAGAAAATCTCGCCCATCTCTGCGATCTCGTTCATCTCGCTCAATCTCACTCCGTATTGTGCCGTCACTGCGGTGCCTGGGAGGGCATGGGATAACCTTATTCTACCGTCCAGGGCTCCGCAAAATGAAGTTTAAGCCTGGTTGCCTAGGGCAGAAATGGCCCCTCAAATCTCCTCTCCTACTCCGTACCTTAGGCTCTGGACAGTTCCCGGTTCCCCGTTGCCCGCCCTCTCCAGCTTTTGCTCGCCCAGAATTTCCCCCAAAGATCCAGTGTAGAAGGGATTGCGGAGAGTGTGCGGAGATGACTTCCCCAAAACACAGACCCCGGACGGCTAAACACAAAAAAGCCGGGGGCGCCAGCAGCGGGTTCGGCGACAAACCTCGTAAGAGGCGCAGGAATTTGGGGAGAGAAACAGGGATGATCCAGACATTGTCCTTGGACATATTGCTAAAGTAATGACAGACCAGTCAGAGACGGAGCAGAGAGAACTGGTAAGAAAAGGAGGCCCACGGGAATTACGGGGGGGCCAGGAAAAAGACCGGGAATGAACAGAAAAATCGGGGAAAGCTTTCTCCACCGGCGCGGGGTAAGAAGCCCGGGGCGCGGGGGAGGAGGGCCCGAGCAGCGAGCGGAGCACCCCGATGGCGTGCCATCTGAAGCGGGTCAACGTCGGGCCCTTCCGGCCAACCATCGACGTCGTTTCCGCACTCGTCGTCCAGGTCCAGGAGCGTACCTGAGAGAAACGGTCTTTGCTCACTGATTCAAGCCTTGCATTACCTAACTCTGCCTTAGCAGACTCAAGTACGGAGTATGTACTGCGTAATTGTTTCCTTATGCGATTTCGCAGTCGCAAATGCACAATCCCAGCCAGAACATCTTTGGCCGTCCATCCAGAGTGTGGGGATCCCCAGCTCTCCTCCCATGATCCATCGTCCTTGAACCAAACCGCCTACTGGAAAGCGCGTCTTGGAAGGACATCTTGGGGCCTTGGTCCTCGGCCACCATCACTCCGAGCATACGTTCCCCTCCATCCTCCCGCCCACGACCCCTCGTTTTTCCCACCAAGCATATTTCGCCGGAGCCCTCCCCTTCATAAAGGATTCCGCACCCAAACTTCGTGCCTTTGAGCGTACCCTTTTCCCCCGAGGATCTGACATATTGTCGATAAATTTCTGCCTCACGTGTCTTCGCGTCTTTCGGTGCCGTGCCGTGCTTGTACATACCTAGATACCCCCTTCCCCAAAACTGTCGCAAAGTCACATGTTATCTGTGCCGCACGACGTTTGAACAAGAAGGTTAGTCTCATTTCACACTACCTGTAGAGTAGTCATTTTGCGACACCAATCGACACGAATCCGACATCATGGGAAACGAGATGACCATGGCCTCACATTACCAGGCCAAAGTTTGACCTCTCAAGGCTAATTACGGACACAGACACCTATAGGGTCTAACAAACAATCCTCACAATAACACAGAAAGAATACCGCCAAAATGCCTGCGGGAATCACAGAGCTCCATGGCGTCAAGCGGGCCGACATTCACAAGCAGGTCAAGCAGCTGATCCACGACATGGTCAACATCAAGGACACCACGGGCGAGTTCCTCATGACGCTCGAGAACGGCCGCGTCATCGACACAAAGGGCTGGGGCGACTGGGAATGGACCCACGGCATCGGCCTGTATGGCATCTGGAAGTACTACGAGCTCAACGGCGACCCGGCCGACCTCAAAATCATCGAGGACTGGTTCCGCGACCGCTTCGAGGAGGGCCACAAGGGCAAAAACATCAACACCATGGCCGTCTTCCTCACCCTCGCCTACGTCTACGAAAAGACCGGAAACGAGACCTACCTCCCCTGGCTCGACAGCTGGGCCGAGTGGGCCTACCATGACCTCCCCCGCACAAAGTACGGCGGCATGCAGCACATCACCTACCTCGAGGTCAACGACCAGCAGCTCTGGGACGACACCCTCATGATGACCGTCCTGCCCCTCGCAAAGATCGGTCTCGTCCTCAACCGCCCCCACTACGTCGAGGAGGCCAAGCGCCAGTTCCTCCTCCACCTGCAGTACCTCTTTGACGCGCCCACCGGCCTCTTCTTCCACGGCTGGACCTTCCACGAAGGCGGCCACAACTTTGCCCGCGCCCGCTGGGCCCGCGGCAACAGCTGGCTCACCATTGTCATCCCAGAGTTCATCGAGCTGCTCAACCTCACGGGCGACGACGCCCTCCGCTCCCACCTCATCAACACCCTCGAGGCCCAGTGCGCCGCCCTCGTGCCGCTGCAGGTCGAAAACGGCCTGTGGAGGACGCTGCTCGACGTGCCCGAGTCCGAGGGCTCCTACGTTGAGGCGAGCGCCACGGCCGGTTTCGCCTACGGCATCCTCAAGGCGCAACGCAAAAAGTACATTGGAAAGGAGTACGAGGCCGTCGCCGTCAAGGCGATTAATGCCATTTTGGAAAATATTAGCCCCGAGGGCGAGCTGCTCAACACGTCTTTTGGCACGGGTATGGGTCACGATTTGCAGCATTACAAGGATATTCCGCGGACGAGCATGCCCTACGGCCAGGCCATGGCTATGATGGCACTGGTCGAGTTCTTGCGCGTCTTTGTATGAAGCTCATGATATAATGCTAAATGAAAAACAAAATGAAACTGAATGAACAAACTATGGTCTCACGATGCTACTTTCCTATGAACTACAATGGAGTGTGACCCAAGCTTTCGAGAATCGAGGGTTCGGTATCATACGCTGGCCGATGCCGCAATGAGTTCAGGCACCTGACTGAAAATCCCCTGTAAGCTTCGTCCATAAGGCGCGTGCGGATCTCTCAGGGGATGGAGGATTCGGTTCACTTTTGACCGAGACATCAAGATATCTTTTGTCGCGAGCCTTGGCGTTGGGGTTGATTCCCCATGCACTCGGGGGGGGTGCCTTGTCAGTACCTTGCGGAAGACGGATACGGGATACAGGGACATGAGCAGAAGCGAAGACAGCTTGATCATCGCTTGAAAGCTACATAAACAAGGTCTCTTGATGTATTCCTCGGCGCTCTCTACTGCACTACGGATATAAGAACTTGACTGGACACACAATGGTCATCTTGACTCAGCTGGAAGAGCATCGCTTGGTGACCGATATTGCTTAGAGTTCCGGGCAGGGGATTCTCAGGATCCTGTAGAACGACACTAACTCCGAAGGTATTGCGTGTCGCAGAATTGAATTTGCTCGGCAGGTCGGTGGAAATCGGCTTCAAGCCATTCCCAGTCGTGACAATAATGTGCGATCCGTGGGGGCCGAGGATATACCGCGCTCCTGGGAACTCTATACACATGGCACCCCCGAGGCCCGGTTCAATGCGGCCCGAGACATGTACGCCTTTGGTTGCAGCCGGACGTGCGGTTTTCATAGTACCCGAATCCAGGGCTGCGGGGCACGCCGGGTGTCAATCTGCCATGTAACTCTACAAAATGTGCCTCAACGAAGAATCTTCCAATGACCTGAGGGAAAAGGCAAGACAGACAAGGATCAAGGCGAAGCTTTCGCACGAGCTCGGTACTGGGAGCTGTTTGTCGGTGACTGATACCGAGATATCGAGTCGCGTCTGTCTAAATATATCATGGCATGGTCATCTGTGATCCGTTGACGCTAGCGATCATAAGAGGGATGGCATCTTGTCGATTCACAAGGTTGCCCTATCTGCCGTAGTCGCCTCTCTCTGCGTTGTTGAGCATTTATAAGACGATCAAAGAGACATCTTGCAAGACTTGATCTCAGTCTCGACCAGAGTTTCGACACGAGATCAATGAAAGATTCGCTGGCATCGCCCACCAGCTACCAGCATTCGCACATGATTCGAAGCCCTTGACGTAGTTCTTCTTCTTTTGAGGCGTCAAGCGCAGGGTCGTGGACCATCTCTTTGCCAGTCTAGAGAAGCACACGACAGGACCCTGCGTGAGGCTAGCTTCGGAGGTTTTCTGATCCAGGGTCAGATGTCTCGCTGCCACGTTAGATGCGGTCTCGGAAAGATTTGGCCTGGTGCCAATATGTGTTGATCACAAGGCAGTCTCTGGTAAACACCGCCGCTACTTTGAATAGCTAAGTACTATGGTGGTGCGGATTCATCACGGTGTGTTGACTCAAATGATTGGATGCTGTCAAAGAGACGAACGGTTGGAGATGCCGAGGAATACACGTGTAGTGTAGAAAGCGATAGCAAATGGGCAAAAGAGAGCAGAGGGCCAACGCCAGGGTTCTAGTGGCTGTTTACATTTTGTCTGCTAGGTGGGAGGGAAGATCTGGGACGATCAAGGCCAGATGAGAGATCCGAGATCAGATGGCATCAGCCAATGACAAAGTGGTGATTTGGAGGGTGGGCGTCATCTTCTGCGCGTGATGCGAGAAGAAAGTCCAATGCGAGCCTCGTGCCTGCCTCGATCTCCTGGTGCGTTGATTGGCTGTTAGTGCGATTGGTGGCAGTCGGTGCGGAAAGCTTAACTTCCCGCCTGCCACCTTCATTTTGGCTTGAGCACGAGCCACAGGCAGCCGCGAGCACTGAGCACGGATCACCCCAGGCCCCAAGCGAAGAGACTACGTACACATCAAAACCAGTGGGAAGGATCGAAGGAAGGGAAGGAAAGGGAAGGAAAGGAAAAAAAACCGAAAAGAAAAGTACTGAAAAATGAGGTCACCCATGTCCGTGCTTCCTTCCAATTGGACCTTCACCCGTCACCTCCCCCCGTCTTCGCTTGCTCTTCTGGGCAGCTCTTACGTCGCATCAGGTCCAGGCCGAGAGCTACCCGCCGATATCCTTCCGCCGACCTGCAGCACCTTCCGTGTTCTTCAACCACCCGCTTAATTAATTGCCTTACTTCATTGCGCCGCAACATCATCCGCGCCTTTCTTCCCCTCGCCCATCTTGCGACCTGCGAACTCCCCCTCCGCCTTCTCACCTCCCAGCTCAGGACATTGAGAGACGCACACCTCCACCCTCCCCAGTGTGCCCACCTCTTCAATTGTCCTGTTCCCCTCCCAAACCACGTCGCCGCTTCGCATTCATAGGCAACTCGAGACCATGCGCTGGAGGTTGCGATTCTGCATTCCATCTCCGTGAGACCCTGGCAGCGGGGTAGCCTCGTCCCAGCAGCTACACCCGAACAAGCAGCTCACCACCGAACCCATCTCCGACCGCCGCAAACCGACAAACCCCCGTAAACCGTGACCGATCTCGACGACCATCTCGACGACGTCACCGCTTGTGCTGCAAGAACTTGTGTAGCTGCATCTGTTCGCCCTCTGGTATCAGGCCCTGCGCCGCCTCGATTGCCGCAGCTGCCAACATGCCTCGCACCACCAACAGCAACAACATTGCTCGCGCAGCTGCTGTGTCCCGGACAGCCTCGTCCGGTTCCTTCCACGCAGGCGCTCCCATACCGACTCTTGGAAACATCGAGTCCAGCCGGAGGACCACGATGCGACGCCAGTCTACTCATAGATATCACACCTTTCCGACACCACCTCCCAAGACCCCCCGCGAGCAATCCTCGGCAGAGCTTTTCCCACATTCCGATGAAGATTCCGATGCCTCAGACGACGATCACCGGCAGACGCCTCTACCTGTTAAGCAGCTTGCTTTGCTTGCCTTCCTCTCCTTGAGCGAGCAGACTGCATTAAACTCCATCGGCCCTTACCTGCCTCAGATGGTCGAGTCCTTCGCCGATATACCCGACTCTCAGACAGGTCTGTACGTCGGTATCCTTGCCTCAGCATTCGCCCTCGCTCAATTATCAACGAACCTACTATGGGGCTACCTATCAGACGTCGTCGGTAGAAAACCGACCATGGTTCTTGGCACCTTCATGTTGGCATGCTGTTTTGTGGGCTTCGGCTTCTGCAGGACCTACTGGCAGATCGTAGTCGTTCATGTGGCCATGGGTATGCTCAATGGCAACGCTGCCGTGGTTCCCACCGTCTTAGGCGAAGTGACGGACCGCTCTAATCAAAGCCGGGCCTTTACATGGCTTCCCGTCATCTACTCCCTGGGCGGCATTACGGGTCCAGCCCTGGGCGGGTTGCTGGTCGGTACTATGGGAAAACGGTACCCATATTTGGCGCCTAACTTGCTGAGCGCAGGGTTATTGTTCATCAGCGTGATTGTCGTCGCAATCTGGTTCGAGGAGACACTGGAAACCTTGGAGCCGGATCACGCAGCATGGATTCCTGCCTGGGCGCGCAAAGCTTGGTCCTGGATTTCGCGAGAAGCGCAACCGCGCAGAGGCTCATGGGCCACCCGCTGGCCTCGCCGCGGATCACAAGCCGTGGTCAGCACTGACGACGACGAAGAAGAGGAAGAAGGAGATGACGAGGATGATGCGGGAGAGGATCAAGGGTTGCTCCAGCATGCATCTGAAAACGATGCTCAGGCCGACGATGACGCGAAACTCCCGGGCGACCTGGCGACATGGCGTCAACTTCTGAACCGCAATACGGTTCTCGTACTATTGACGTACCTGGTATTCCAGCTGTCAAACATCTCCTACAACAGCTTGTACCCGATTTTCGCCGATGCCAATCCTCCAACTGGGCGCGGTCTTCCGCCAAGCAAGATCGGTATCAGTCTCAGTCTGGCCGGCGTGGCTACTATTGTGTTCCAGGCTTTCCTCTTCCAGCATTTGAAGACGCGGCTGGGAAACCTGGGGACCTACCGCATTGCCTTGCTGGGACTGGCCGTTAGCATGGCCCTGATGCCCTGGATTCCGTACTTGGACGACGAGCCGCTGTTCGGTATCGGCAGCGGTTCTGCCTGGCTGTACGCGGAACTCGGCGTTATCCTAATTATCAAGAACATCTGCGCCGTGGGCGGTCTGTCTAGCGTCATGCTCCTGGTAAGTCACCCTTGATGACTGAAATCTTAAATTTTTGCTAATGCTGGCTGTAGATCACAAACTGTGCACCGAATCATGCTACTTTGGGAACTTTGAACGGCATCGCCCAGACGCTGTCCGCCGCGGGCCGCAGCTTTGGGCCATTCGTCTCCGGCTCCCTTTTCACGCTCTCCACGCGTGTCCATCCCAAGGGTGAGGCCCTAGTCTGGGGCATATTCGGCGGTATTGCCCTCTTGGGATGGATTGGCTCCCTCGCCATCCGCAACCGCGGCCTCGAGAGTGACGATTGGGTCGGCGAGGAAGATGGCACTGACGGCGAAACTGAGCCATGAGCCATCCCACCGACGTTTGCGCCAAGAGCAACACATGTTAACCCGCCGGATTTTGTGTTTTTAATACGGTCGGAAAATGTTTCGGATAATCATAGCATTGGGAAAAGGTCGGAAATGCCTGGTCAAAGCGGATATATTTGCATCAATAGAGAGGGGTGGAACCAGCTCACCCTCTGGAAGAGGACGAAGAGGCAGACAGCTACACGGTATAGATTTAAGAGGCCAGTACCGGGCCCAGACTCGTTAATCTCAAGATTTGAATTGGTCTTTGGATACTTTGGGCCGCAGCGAGGCATGTGATTCTCTGGTGACCTGCATCAGTATATGGTCCTTACGAGCATCGCCTTGCCGTGCTCGCAAGGCGCTGCATGTTCACGCCCGCATCCTGGCGATTGCTGCTTGTGATAGATCGCTTACAGTGAGTATTTTCATCAGCTCTTAAGCGTCGTGAAAAGAAGGCCGTGGACATTGTATTTAGCTAAACTACGCCCGAAAAAATGGATGATACTCCGTCGGCGGACCGGCGTAATTTCTGAACCACACAAAGTTCTCACCGCCGCATTCGGCGTGTTCTGTTCCGCTCCGCTCCGCATGCCCCCGATTCGGGCGCCATGCATGCAGTTGCGCCCGGGAAACTTCAACGGCTGTTCCTATCTCTTGCTTGCTAAGCGATTCGATGACTCTAGAATATTCTACATCTCGGGCCTGTAGTGATCTAGGTATAATCTTGCGTTGTCAAATAGTTTTTGCCTGTTGCGCCTGATTGGTACGCACGCGTTCGTGATGCTTCATTTTGTGAGAAAGGTCGACGTATCTTGTAGCGTGCAGCGCTCTCAGCATAGTTGCGAGATTTCATACTCATTCAACCGAGAACTGACATGGAAAGTCCCGGCAAAGTTGCGCAGGAAAAAAAGTTTCTACTCTCTTGATGCTTCTAAATAAGGGTAGATGAGATATATCCGTAGGGCTTGCCAGAAGCCCTCTATAAGTGCAACCTTTGGGACTTGGACACCTCTTCTAGAGGAAACAAGTACAACAAAAAAGGGCCCAGAAATTGCTACAAAACCCGACCATTGTCGTGAGACTGAGTGGTGTATGACGATGCTTCTTCCCAATGCCCAAAATCCCCATGCCAATGCTATGCCCTGAGGAAGAAATCTCGCTCGCTCCCTCGCTCATGCTCTAATACCAAGCAAATCAAATGGACGCCGTAAGATGCGTGCCGTAAATCTTTCTCCATCCGTCTATTGAAGTGTCATGCTCATGTAGGCCGGCTCATCATGATTGTGAGTCCCCCACGGCACAGACTAAAACCACGTCGGGGGAACGGACCAGTGCCGCAACATCGTGTCGACGGCCTTGTTCCATTCATATTCGAAGCAGGCGCCGAGCTGGGCCGCCTCATCGGTGGACGGCTCGCGACCTCCCCACATCTCGGGCTTGGTGGCCTCCAGGGCCGCGTATCCGGAAACGAGATCACTGCAATCGCAAAGGAAACAAATGTCAGCCATTGTCTCTTTAAAGTGTGATTTGATCACAGTGATGGTAGTACTCACTCTTCCTGAATCTTGACGAGACACAACCAGGCTAGGTTCCAGCTCTTGTTCGAATTGGGATCGTTGCGCACGCGGACGTGGGCGTCGTAGAGGAGGTCGCTGCAGAGGGGGTAGCTCCGCGTCAGGCCGCGGAGTTCTGTGAGAAACTGGTTGCTGTTCACATAGTAGTCCCAGGCGGCGGTCATGGGACCTTGGAAGGCCAGGGCGTCTTCTTCGTTCTCGCAGGTAGCCGCCACGCGCTCGATGCGGCAGAGCTCTGTGAGGGTGTTGACTCTGTGCGTCTCTAGGGACTCGATGAGCTGTTGGATTGAGCGCTATGGATAATCAAAGGTCAGTACGGTGCCCGATGAAGAAGGAGGATCGGGTAAGGCAGTCTCATTTTGGACTTGAGACTTAAGATGGATTGGAAAGCTAGATGTAGTGATGTATGCTTGTTGAAAAGGGGGGGTAGTACAAAGAGGAGACCGTGACTAACTTGAACCGCCCTTGGTTTCTTGCTACTCTTGGAGCTACGGTGGTGGCTTGATGACCCTCCCGAACGGCCGGAACGCGACGACGACATGGTTGATGACGGTCTGCGGGAAGGATGAGACTCCTGACTAACTGACGGCGGCGCAAAGGCGACAAGGATATCCTCGACTGTGTACTGGGTATCCGAGTCTATTTGATCTTCAAGCTGGGTGATGTTCGTGTGGCTATGGTCAAAAGAAGGTGGCAGGTTCGGATCGGGGGAAGCTAGTGATATATCCTGTTCCTCGACTTCGAGCTTGATGCTCATCACGACAGACATCCACTTCGGGGTAGAATCTCCGAACCGAGTAGATGGGTCGATCGAGGTAATCAGACACCTTCGGACTGGATGTACCTCGCTGTTGGTAATGACGTCGGCGGAGCTCAGTGACCCAAGATAGCCGTTGAATACTCGAAAGAGATCCGCAGTAGTCGAACCGGAGACGGCGTATCACGAGATGAGTGATGATGTGAGTTTGCGGTGCCTCAAACAGTCGGCAAAGGCCGTCAGAAAAGCTTGGTATGGAGTAACACCGAAGAAAAGTCGCTTCTGTGTCGGGTATCTGAAACGACAGAATGTGTTTGTATGGTCAAGATTCGTTCTTCCAGAGCCAGAAGAAGAAGATTGCAGCCAAATGTGGCAGCATATGATGGTGCATCATATTGATATGGGCTTGCCCAGCCACAACGCACGTCAGTGCCGGACACCGCACCGGCAATGGTGGTCAATCGTTTGAACTCTAAACGGTGAGGAAGCATCCACATGGAGGTAGACGTAGTCCGGAGCTGAGGCTGAGGCTGATGAAGGCATCGGAAAGGACGTCAGGGGTCACGGCAACCATATCAAAGGGGCGTCCACCAAGACGACAGACTGAAGAATGGGTATGCCATGACCAGGGACCGCAGAACGGGTGATCACTGTGCTCCTGACCAGAATCCTCAACCATTCCCAGCAGACCGGCTATGCTGCAGGCCTGGTTGAAGAACATGCTCGCGACTTCGATCACTCTCTCTATCAAGACTTGGATGCTGAGGAGGGGACGATATGCAGTGTGATGGGCGAGAGAACGAGGTTGAGGTCAGTGATTGGCCACATCGCATACAGGTGCCGATGAGTAAAACTGCTGACAGAGCAGACGTATTTTTGTCTCGAGCTCCAGAAGAGCTCACCACCCCAGCGGATGACGATGGGAATCGCGATAGACCGACCCCAGAAGCCGGGACAGCCTAGACATGCATGCTTCTGGGGTGGTACTGGCTGCGCGAATGTCGTAGCTGCAGCCCTACCAGGCATAGTGTCAACGATGAGAGCCATCTCATAGGGTATTTGGGCAGCCGGTCAACGGGAAGAGAGGGTGGCAGGGTCCCAAGAAAACAACGTCAGATTTTAGTGAAGGACAGATCGTATGGCAGGGACTAATGGTTGCGCATCCCACGCCAGTCCCGGCCCGTGATTGTTCGGGCCTCACCGGTCTATCGTCAGGTGAAGATTGCATAGAGCGGACGTTTTGACTGCGGCGAAGGATGGCGAAACCCAGAACAAGGCATTACTGCTGACCAAGATGGGAGGCTCTGTCTGGCAATCCGACGGAGGTCTGTTAGCTTCTTGGGTGGAGGCTTGACGATTGGCGCCAGTGGGCCAATAGGTCTCAGAGGGGTAGTTGGCAGTAGGCGTGCAGATACGACTATGAATTGTAAAGCGACAAGCGGGCCTGGTGTTCTGCCGTGGTGCCAACGGAATACAGATTGGGGGGGCCGGAATAGCATCGAGGCCGGGCACGGAGGGAACGTATGCAAGGAATTTTAGCGGCACATAGGCGTGAGTCTGCAGAATAAATCTGCAAGAGTGTCAAAAAGGGTCGAGGTAGGTATCCGCAAGCGCGAACCAAGCTCTGTCTCAATCTTGCATAGCTCGCGTGATGTTTGAGCATCCCAGACATCAACCACGTTGTGGTAAGTCGTACTCCGTAGATGCGGGGATGCTTCCATAGGGCTGAGTGTCAACCAGGTCGCTTTCTCCACGGGTTGGTTGGTCTGCATTTCAGCTGCCCCGCCGCTCGAACTCTCTTGTTCATGTGTCGGAGGGGACTCTGAGCTCCGATCTGGGCCCATTGTGAGGAATCTTGAATCCCTGTTGTGAAGGATTCGGTCATTAGGATAGAGGTTGTCGTCTGCTTCAGGTTGGGCATCCTGCACGCTTGTTTGGCGTTCCTAGAGGCTGGGAACAGTACCAGGGTGATTCTGGTTCTAGACTTTGAGGCATGGCTAAGCCCGTGCCTCGGCTCCCAAACTTCCCGCTTGCTAGGGTCTTGGGCCAATGATTATGGGCTGAGGTGTTTCTTCTGGAAGTCGACGACGGGCTGCTGAAGTTGAGGCTGGGAGTAGCTGTAAGATCCGGGCCTACCTGAGCAGATCGATCGACATACTGTAGCCGTAAGGAGATCTGTCTGGTCGATCCCGTATCAACAGGATGCTCCAAAGGAAGAAATTTGCCCCATCCGACACAGGATTCTAAGCGCCGAGCGAAAAGCATACAAAGATGTCAGAATAGCCTTGAAAATCCCGTGTTGGATATTCGGCGAGGCAGACTCGAGGATTCTGTATGCCCCGGAGGAGCACTTGACGACGAGCCAAGCGCCGGAAGAGCGCAGATACCGGAAGCGCCGTCTATGGCCCAGGAAGAAAGGGTTATAAGCGCGATGCGAAGCATCTGGTTTGCTGTGTTACGGCTCGAAAGGTCGGACAAGGCCGGGAGACTCGCGGTAGACCGGAAACAAGCGCGGCGACTAACACAAGTTGGGATGAGAGGACGGGATGAAGCATGGAAACTGGGAAGAAGAGAACAAGCAGACAGCAAACAGAGAAACGTCACACGCGCACACAGCGATCTGACAGCACCTCACAATACTCTCGACTGCGCCACAGCCTAATGCGAGTAGCCCAGTTTATAAGCTCAAGTGGATAATATCGACCAATGGAAATCCAGAAAAAGAAGAAAGCAAGGGCCGTGATTCGCTGCGGATGTGGCTTGCCCCGTCGCTCCTCCCTAAGCCATCCGGCTCCTGATAATCCGACGAGACGGCAGAAGGAGACAAGGAGGAAGCTCCGTACCTTGGCTCCCCTTCTTTCTTTCCCAATGAGGAATCATTTCTCATGGAGGGAGCCAACCTACCTTAGGGAACCTTTTAGGCATGCGCCTCGAGTTATGGCTCCTTCTTGAGCAGCTTCCACAGCTTCCAGGATGTCTTGAATGCAAGATTGGAAGCAGTGCCTTGCATCCGCTCTTACATCCTTTCACTTGACAAGCACTTGCCATCGTGAACTCTGCCGGAGCCGGGGCGGAGGCGAAAGTCCTGTCTCCTGGTGCGCTCAAGTGCTCCATCTCCATTTCCATCTCCACCTTCACATCATCTCAACTTCAACGCCCCCACGCCGGACGTCACCGAACCTCAGAGTCTGTTGTGCCCATAGTGGATTCTACCATGATGTCGACTTGCTGCCATGGCGAAATGGTCTCTGTTCGGGCGCATCGTCATAGCCAGTGATTCACGCCGAGACGTCACATTCTCACGACAACCGATGATATGTCAGCCGTCAACATACTGCACTCTGCTCTGTAAGCCAGAAAGAAATCATAGAATCGTTCAAGTTGACCACACGTGACGTAAGTAAGTTACCCAGACAATAACTGACGGCGTTTAGACCAAACCTGCAGTGCGGCCCCCACTCCTCGCGCAGACAGCTCGCTGCGTAGGTGTGAGATTTGTGAGGTTGGGCTTACCCATCGCAGAGCCGATCACGTGTTTCTCACTACCTACTTCCAATTGATTCTCTGCTGCTTACTGCATCGGGTAACAGCAATCCACTGTGTCGCACACCTCTGATCGAAAAGAGAATGATCGAGGTCCCCGAGCCCAGCGGCCTCCGCTTATCTCACGGGGTAGAGCTTTTCTTCCACGGCCACATTGCCGGTAAACCTGCTGACCACACTCCGTGAACTCCGCGAGTTTCGATATGCCTTCACTGACATCATGGCAAGCTAGCAACATCTAGTACGTACATTACTGCATCGTATTGACAAACGTCTGCCTGGAACGCGTCTATCTAAACACATGTCGCTGTTGCCTGGATGACGAGACCTAAATGATCATCAGGTCAAACAGCATGCGGCATTCGGCACATGATCGCTTGGAACCTTGGTACCTCAAGAAACTTCTTCTTCCAGTACCTAATCAAACGCCTCTACCTTTGAATACAGTTTCAAGACCGGTCCGATTCCAGCTTGAATGCCTACATCAATTCGCCACCATGCAACTCCATCACTGTCTCCGGATGTTCCGTGCTTTGCGCTTTTCTAGCCTTTTCACCCAAAGGTGGACATCTCGTCTTGGCCATTGTATCACAAGTATCCAAGGGCGGCGGTGCCATGTTCGATTGGAATCAAACGCATCTGATCTTCTAGCAGTCTCGTCCCAGCATAGACTTATACTCTCAGGATTTTCGCCAGACCCAAGAACGAGTAGAAGCTATTCAAGTCATCCAGGGCTCAAGTTGAACGTCATAGTAATCGAGTAGCTCTATCCACATTCTACATGCGTAGATCAGCCACCTTTACGAGACCCTATATAGTCTCATCATGCACAACGACATTGAATCAGAAACAAAACTCCCATATGTGTTTTCCCACAATCTTCCATTCGTAAACATACATGGCTTCAATCCAGTGGAAACCAAAGCAATGTACAACAACCGTTTACCAACTGCCCATTTGCGTCAGATGCCTCGAGCTCTCGCCAACAAGGAACGAATACTCTCCAAACGTAATCATCGCCCAGTTCTGTTGCCGCACATCCCAGTAGCTGAGGTCGCGGCGTGTCACATTGAACGTGACGGTCCTCTTCTCGCCCTTCTCCAAATTGAACTTATCAAATCCACGAAGGACCTTGACCGGGAAGTCCACGCCGTGCACGTTCTTCGGGTATGACATGTACAACTGGGGGACGACCTTGCCTGCTACAGCGCCGGTGTTGGTGACGTCCGCCTGGACGGTGACATATGTCTCCCACAGATCGGGGTTACCGCCCTCTTCACCGCCGGCTTGGGATGGAGGCTGCTTCACCTCGTATCCGTCTGGGTAAGGGTACGGGTCCGAAGAAATATCGTCAACGGTATCCAAGTATGGGTATACATATTTCTCGAGCTTGCGGAAGCCTTCCGGGAACAAAGCCACCTTCTTGTCAGGGATCTTGTCGCTGAATTTTGGTGGCTCCGCACCGGGCGCTGGGCGAGGTGGAGGAAGTGCGCTCTTTTCCTTGACGCCCTTGACGGTGACATTGGAAAACTCGAAGCTTGTGTATGAAAGGCCGAATCCAAATTCAAAACGAGGTTCAATGTTGTTCTTGTCGAAGTGTCGGTAGTCGATGTAGAGTCCTTCAGAGAAGTCTTGCTGGGGCACCACGCCGTTGGGCAGGTACAAGATCTGTCCGCCCGGTCCAAAGTCCTTCAGAGACTTGGGGATCGTGTACGGCAGCTTGCCACTGGGGTTGACATCGCCAAAGATCACGTCCGCTAGCGCGTTTCCACTCTCTTCTCCCGGGAGGTTGGCGTAGAGAACGGCCTTGACACCGGGATGGTCGATCCAGCGTTCCATTTCGACGGGTCCTACCGAATGAATGACAACGATGGTATCGCCACCGGCCGAATTCCCTTCACCCTTGCCGCAATTGTCGGCAACCAGAAGGATCAGATCGTCTCCTCCCTTTTGCAACTTGAGATCGTTTCGATCACCGCCAATGCCTCCCCATGCCAGGAAGCCTTCTCCCGAGTCCGCGTTCGCAAATACAATGCAGACATCCTGGTTGTGCAGGACAGAGGGGTCCTTTTGGAATGGGGGCGAGTTTGTGAGATACTCGGACAGCTCAACTTTCTCAGACTTGAAGCCCTTCTTCAAGGCTTCGACAGGAGTAACGAGGTACGGGAATTCCACAGCACCACTGCCCCAGCCCGAGCCCAGTGTCCCTTGGTTGCAGCCGCGATCAGCGCAATAATTCGGGCCGTTGCCTGGACCAGCGTCCTCGCCATAAATGCCAATCTTCAACTTGCCCTCGTGGCGCTTGCGCTTCGCGTCGATGAAGCCGTCTCTGCTGATAGGCAAGACGTCCTTATTCTTGAGCAGCACTGTGCCCTCGGCAGCAACGCGGCGGGCAATATCAGAGTGATTGCCTTGCACATGAACATACTTGTTGACCTCGACCTCCGGTTGGGGTGTCTTGCTACCGGGAGCGAGAGTACCCATCTTGTCGTTGGTCCACGAGGAGAAATTGGGAAGCTCATCTGGGTAAAGCTTCTTATCGTCCTGACCCAGCTTATACCAGGAAGCAACAATACGGACGGCCATATCATCCAATCGTTCGACAGGAACGGATCCGTTGAGGACGGCACGAGTAAGCTCGGGGCCCCAAAGAGACTTTCCGTTCTGCCAGAATAGACCATCGCCAGGCATTGTCATATCCAGACCTGCGAGAGCGCTGCCGACACCTGAACGTTGTGCAAGCCAGTCGCTCATTACGAAGCCTTGGAAGCCCATCTCGTCCTTTAGAATACCGTTGAGAAGCTTGGAGTTGTCGCAAGCGTACGAGTTGTTGACCTGGTTGTAAGAGCACATGACACTGGCAACACCAGCCTTGACGGCATCGAGGAATGGCCACGCGTACAGCTCGTGCATGGCCCGGTCGTCGATGTTGCTAGAGATAGCGTTGGGCAATCCCCACTCCCAGCTTTGTCGGAAATGTTCCTGCTCGTTGGCAACAAAATGCTTGATGGTAGCCATGACGCCCTCCTCCTGGATGCCCTTGATCGTCTCAGCGGCAGCGATACCAGACAGGTAGGGGTCGGCGCCAAAGCCCTCCCAGTTGCGGCCGCCGGCAGGCAGTCGACCAAGGGGTCCAACGCAGGGTCCGAGGAGCACGTTGATTCCCTTGCCTCGGGCTTCCTGTCCGTGTGCCTTGCCTCGCTGGTACATCAATTCTTTGTTCCAAGTAGCGCCAACAGTGACGCCGGCAGGGAATGCTGTCGCATTGTCGGCAAACCGGATCCCAAGGGGACCATCTTGTAGTTGGAGCTGCGGGAAGCCAACGTGGACGGCAGGGCCAGTCGTGCCAACCGCGAGACCCATCATCCAGCCAGTTCCTGTTGTAATGTTGACCTTTTCAGGCAACGTCATCTTGGCGACCATCTCTCCGGCCTTCTTGTAGCTCTCTGCCCAATTCTTGGATATACCACCCTTTGGGGTCGGATACCATGGTGGCGATAGACCGGTGGGGGGCGCGCCCTTGAACTTCTTGTACATGACGGCTCCTCCGGCGCTGATGAATACCCACATGATGAAGACGACAGCGGTGATGAGCAGGCAAAGCTTCGAGCGACCCTGAAATAGTCTTCTGAAAGCTGCAATGCAGCCCCGCGGCCTGGCGGAAAGGAAGGCGGGCTTGGGGAATCTTGACTCCTGCTTCTGTTCATTTCGCTCGAGGTAATCCGTGGCGTCGATGTCGGAGCCGTCGTCGGATTCTCCATCGTAGGAGCGGCGGGACTTGTCGCCCAAGAGTCCCTCTTTGCTTGGGTCCATGGCGGACAGAATGGATATGTGTTGTACTGTCCGTGGCTGTGACTCTAGATCCGCCTAGGAGAATGTCGAATGCTTCTGTTGTTTGTTCAATGATGTACAACTTAGGCTGGATCTGCGTCTGACGAGTGCACCAATCCTGTTCAGAGACGGATTGTGGTAGCACGGTTCGACTGGCGTACCATTGCTCGAGACGCCCTCGGGGATGATATCGTAACGAAGCAGTCTCGGTACGTGTAGGAAACAATTGGGGTATCTGCGAGACGGTGCTTACAACTCGAATTCGGTCAATCGAGATGGAGTATGGTGGTATGCGAAGAGCGTAGGCGACCTCGGAAGTTGACGTGATGTCAGTGTCAGGTCAGGACAATCAGACAAAGACTTGTGAAGACGAGAAGAGAGAAGAGTTGGAACTTGGGAAGAGTGACAAAACAATTGAAGGGACCGGGACGAGGGACGGGGTATCAGGTCTGTTCCCCTAAGTTTCGACTCGCAGCACTGCGGCTTGTTCTTTTGGCGTGCTGGCGGCGTGTTGGCGTGCTTAACCTTTCGTAAACCACGCTGCTGAGTGCAGAGGGATCAGGCCGTGCCCGCCTGGATTTGGGAGCTTCCGGTTGAAACAGTGGGGGAATCTGGGTCTGGGTACGTACTGGATGCCCCACGCTTGGACCGCTGCCCCTGTCTTAGTGACGTCCCTTTGGCCTTCCAGTCCTCGATTGCAGCGCCATTAGGCCAGTGGAGCCGTGTTCTTGCTGGGCTGCCCCGCTGATTGGCGCGGGGCCTCGGCAGCACGGGCCCACGATACCTAGCGTCTGCCCCTGGAAGAGCCAGAACCCGGCAGAAGCATGCCAAATTCCCTCCAAATTCCCATCTATTTCCAGGTACCTTAGGTACTCCGTACTTTTAGGTTGTTTGCAACTTTGCTGAGGTTCTTGGATAATGTGCCTCATCTTAGGTAAGCATGTCTGAATCTAAGGAAAGGTAAGCACCGGAGATCTCCCGCTTGGATGCGATGGATTCCATCCCGTCTTGCACCTCATCTCAGTCTCAAGATGCGATACCGAATGACCCACCGACGAAGGTAAAGACACTGACGAAAGCTGGCAGACCATATCAGGTGCTCACGTCCACCTTTTCGTCTTCTGATCAACCCGACGTCACATTCTACTCTTAACATGAAGCAGGGAGCCATCTGCCGTCAGCCTTTTCTCCAGCATAAATAACGTCTATGGGCTGAGACTGTAAAAAAGCAAGCTCCTTTATCCCCAATTTCGCACGAATTAGGCTGCCTCCTCGACCTCGGTCCATCCAACTTCGCGAAAGAGAAACACGAGGTCTCAGCTAGATTTTGACGACGCTCAGAAACATTCAAAGGCCAGCAGCTGGAATGTGCGGGACTGATATGAAAAGCAAAACTAAACTATAGCGGGGAGGCAGTTTAGTGATCCAAACGTCACGGGTGGAAATGTTCCAGGCTCTCGAGAATTCGACTACTACGTAAGATGCTGCCCACTTCGTCTGATGAGTGTTCTGGTACACTTATGCTTTTGTGCCGGTGCTACGCATCAGACTGGCCGGGTTGCTGATCATCGCAGGATATGTCTTTACGAAAACACCGCGAGGCCGTAATTCTCTGAGGTTGTAAAGAACACGAAATGCCCATGTTGAAGCCCTCTCGATGCACCACTGAACCATGGTTCCACAAAATCAGTGCAGCATCTAGACAGGGCTCACATCGGAAGAGGAAGTCAATCCGCAAGTCGGACAATGGGTCGAGACCAGCTTGGCGACCTCGAGGTTCTCTCATGATTTGGTCACCCCAAATGTGATGTCGAACTCGCCTTGGCCAGTTCTTACGATACGGTTGGGATCAGTTCTGAAAGCGATGAGACTAGACCAAGGCCAAAAACAACCGACACTGCAGCCTCAGCTAGCGAACGGCTGTAGCCGAAACTCTGCTGGTCATGGCTGCCACATGTGAAGAGGTTTCTTGGGTCGCCATGTACGCCACGCATCAATCTCCACACAGCTTATGGTCAAGAAGACATCAATCTCTGCTTGGAGTATCTGCAAGGCAGAGCATAACGGTGTTGCGGACTAGAAGAGCCCTTTCAAGATAAGACAAAGCGGGCTAGACGTCGACATTAATGGGAGAATGAGAAGCAACGCTGACCAGAGGCTCTTGCGCACGAAACAGGGTCGCACTCGCAAGACGGAATTTGTTGCTATCTTGAAACGATATGGAAGGACAGTGACCACTTAGCCGAGTCTTTGGCCGACGCTGAGGCGGGACGCAACCGCGGGGTGGACCGCGCTTCCTCAACGGGATTTGGACGCCGGCACCGGAGCAACCGCACCGGAGGGATCCAACATGTTGAGAGAATCTTGCAAAAACTTAAAGGGGAAGAGATGAATGATTTTCCGCTGGACCCTTGGTCCCTATTTTCCTTGCCGAGCAACGAGAGTTGCGTAGTTGGATTGGTAATTCGGGCATCAAGAGCCTTTCGCAGCGGAGCGAAAAGAGATGGAGGCGTACGTATATCGCGAGATTTCGAGAACAACCGATAGGGATACAAAGTTGAATTTTTTTTTTCCACATGGGCCAAGGATGCGATTCTGCTGGTGGATTGTGAGAAACAAAGAGGAAAAATCGCGCCCACATGGGCCAAGGATGCGATTCTGCTGGTGGATTGTGAGAAACAAAGAGGGAAAAATCGCGCCCGGACTTGCAGTGCCCAATCTAAAAAAAAATCTGTGTTGCGACGGAGGGACACTTGTTGCTGACGACCTACACCACACAAACTCGCCGTCCCACGAGAGAGAGGACAGACGAGAGCATCCTTTTTCTTTCCCGCGAAACCCTTTTCCGGTTTTTCCTCCTTCAGAATTGCAGAAGCGAGGTCCCTTGTTTCGCGCGCGCTCTCTCTCTCCCTCTCTCGCCCTCCGACCCCTCTCTCCGAGTGCTGGTTGTCGCTTCCATGCCTCACCCTGTAACCCCGCCCTTATCGCAGCAGGAACAACACCAAGCGAACATGACCGTCGTGGCCAAGGGCGATGCCCCTCCCCCGCCATCCCAAGAAGAGGTTTCGGCCTTCTTGAACTCCATCTTCACCGCGACCACTTCCGCCGCCTCAGTCGATGCCGCCTACGGTCTTTGCGAAGTCCTCAACAACACGGTCGGATACCAAGGTCTTACCCATTATGGCATTCTTGCCGAGATCAAGAAGGCTGCCGCCAACAAGAAGTCTCCTCAGCTTCGCGAGTGCGCCCAGAACCTGCTGGGTGCCCTCTTTGAGCGCATGCCCCCAAAGTCGCCTTTGAGCGAGGTTGTCTTCCTTGTTCAGGATGCCACCCTCGTTCCTGCAGCTCTCGACGCCCTGTCCGACAAGGGCTCCGTTGTCCGCGAGTCTGCTCAATATGCGCTGGACGCTCTCTTCAACAACTTGAGCGCCGAGGCTCTCGTTGTCGGTCTGCTGCCCGTTCTTCACACCTACCTGTCCAAGAGGACCGGAAAGTGGCAGGGAACCGCTGCTGCCCTCCTCTTGCTCCAGAAGATCGCCGAGAAGGCCAAGCAGACTGTCGGCTCCACCCAGGAGCAGGCTGAAGAGCAGGATGTCCTCCGTGAGGCCATCGGAACAAAGCTGGCTGGCCTCATTCCCATCGTCGAGGGCGGCATGCACGACCTCAAGGCCGAGGTCGAGAAGCAGTCTGTCCAGACTATGACCGCCCTTACCGCCCTCCTTTCCAACGACGACGTCGCTCCTCGCGTGCCTCTTCTCATCGATACCATGCACCACCCCTCCACCGAGACTCTTCGCAAGGCCATCCACGCCCTGTCCATGACGACCTTTGTCGCCATCGTCACCTCTCCCGTTCTTGCTCTCTTGACGCCTCTGCTCGAGCGTTCCCTCAACACCCCCTCTACCGCTCAGGAGGTTCTCCGCCAGACCGTCGTTGTCGTCGAGAACTTGACAAAGCTGGTCCACGACCCGATCGAGGCCAGAACCTTCTTGCCCAAGTTGCAGCCAGGTGTGAAGGGTGTCTACGACCGCGCTTCCCTCCCCGAGGTCCGAGAGCTGGCTAAGAGAGCATTGGATGTCATTGAGAAGGCCATGGGTGACGACAAGGATGTCATCGAGCGTGTCTCTAGCGAGGACGTCGGCAAGATCCTTGATGCCGAGATCAAGAAGACCGGCGGCCTTGCCGTCACCGACATTTACAAGGTGGCTCGCCCCTACATCTGCGAGCAGGTTGCCGAGGACGTCAACCACCGTTTCGTTCAGCGCATCTCTGGACGCATCGCTCCCTACCTGCAGGCCTTGGCCCCGAGCTCCAACATTGCCATTGCCGACAGCGTTCAGAAGTACTACGTCGAGGAGGACGAGCGCAAGTACGGTGTTCCCGAGAAGGAGGACGACGGCGAGACAGAGATTGTCAATGCCCACTTCTCCCTGGCATACGGTGGCATGCTGCTGCTTTCCCACACCAACCTGAGACTGCTCAAGGGCCACCGCTACGGTCTTTGCGGTCGCAACGGTGCTGGCAAGTCCACGCTGATGCGCAGTATCGCCAACGGCAAGCTCGAGGGTTTCCCTCCCCAGGATGTTCTCCGTACCATTTACGTCGAGCACAACCAGGGTGAGGATGCCGATATCAGCATTTTGGACTTCGTCCTCAAGGATGAGGAGATCGCTGCTCGCGGTCGTGCCAAGGTCGTCGAGGTTCTTGATGAGTTCGGCTTCGGCAGTGGCCCTGACGAGCGCCAGTCGCACAAGGTCGGCTCCCTGTCCGGAGGATGGAAGATGAAGTTGGCTTTGGCTCGTGCTATGCTGAAGGGCGCGGACGTCCTGTTGTTGGACGAACCTACTAACCACTTGGATGTTGCCAACATCGCCTGGCTCGAGAACTACCTCAAGACCCACCCCGACATCACCAGTTTGATCGTTTCTCACGACTCCGGCTTCCTCGACAACGTCACCACGGATATTTACCACTACGAGCCCAACAAGAAGCTTGCCTGCTACAAGGGCAACCTCGCTGCCTTTGTCAAGGTTCGCCCCGAGGCAAAGAGCTACTACACGCTCTCCGCTTCCCAGGTTCAGTTCAAGTTCCCACCTCCGGGCATCCTGACTGGTGTCAAGTCCTTGACCCGTGCCATTATCCGCATGACCAACGTCTCATACCAATACCCCAAGGCGCCCAAGCCCTCTCTGGCTGAGGTTACTTGCCAGCTTACTCTGTCGTCCAGAGTGGCCATTATCGGCCCCAACGGTGCCGGCAAGTCCACGCTCATCAAGATTCTTACTGGCGAGGTCATTCCCAGCACCGGAAAGGTCGAGAAGCACCCCAACTTGCGTATCGGTTACATCAAGCAGCACGCTCTTGAGCACGTCGAGATGCATCTTGAGAAGACCCCCAACCAGTACCTGCAGTGGCGTTACGCCAACGGTGATGATCGTGAGGTCCACATGAAGCAGACCCGTATGCTCTCCGACAAGGATCGCGAGCAGATGGACAAGCTCATCGATCTCAAGGATGGCAAGTCCGCTCGTCAGCT